TCCACGGCATCAGTCGCACGGTGAAAACTTTGCCAGCCAAATGGCCGTACTTCAGCCGAAACTTTTTCACTTCCCGAGGCACAAAATTTAAATTTACACTTATAATACACGCACACACGTACCCGCGTGTGCGCGTCCGGTCGCGTGTGTGTATGTGTGTTTGTGTTACTGTAAAAACGCGTATTATAGCCGTATCTCCACATTTTGTGTTTTGGGGGTGAACAAGTTGAGGCTGAAAACCGGCCATTTGGCTGGCAAACTTTTCACCGTCCGACTGCTGCCGTGGACGATATTATCTGCGAGAGGAAGAGGGAAATACTGAGGGGAAGAGAGTGACAGGGGAGGAGGAAGGAAAGAGGAGAGAAAGGAGGAAGGGACGGAGGGAGGGAGGAATGCAGACAGAGATGTGAATATGCATGCGCCATACACACGTACGGCACAAACGGCACACACAGGCACGGATGCACATATTCCTTTTAATATAGTTACTTCTCTCGCCTTTTCGCTCATCGTCTCTCTCCGTGACACACACACACACACACACACACACACACACACACACACACACACACACACACACACACACACACACACACACACACACACACACACACACACACACACACACACACACACACACACACACACNACACACATATATATATATATATATATATATATATATATATATCGTGCGTAAGTATTGCGTAGTGCGGGGGAGTGACTCCGGATATGATCAAGATTTTTTAACGAATTTATTTATCATTTCTACCATAGATACCGGAACTAGCCGACCGAGGCAGCTTCGCCCACCAACAACATTCTAGATATAAAAGAACGACTAAAGCCCCCCACCTGCCCACAATATTAGCTTTACCACTGTGAAGTTGAGTTGCTATAGTGCGTCGATTGCTCCTTGGGCTGAGTAATTCCTGGGACTGGGATTTTACATGGAACTGGGAGCACGAACACCACACAGACAAGGTATCACGTAGCCATGCGTGAAATCATTAGGTAGGAATATACAGATAGACCTGTGTACGTAGGCACGTATGTGTAGCATAACTATAGATTATTATTTCTATATTCGCGGTATCAATTCACTAACTGTATGGCATAGCCATTCACTTTTCCCTGACCAGGCATCGCGCTTGTGGAATTGCGGCAAATCACTAGCAGGAAGATCATGAAAGTCCAATGCGACTAAATGCTGAATTTCGAATAAAGTAATGGCAGCACCCAGTGATAATCATATGGGTAACAGACAATATATTATTTTCTGTTCATTCAGATGACTCTCGTGAAATCAAATATATACAATGCCTCTATATGTTTATTTAACAAATGATCGAGTGGTTTAGAGTGAGTGCTGCGAGTCGTGCGATGATAATATCTGCATCGAAATGAGAAATTCCTGCTCTGCACCATAAGTAAAGTTGGTTCGAACGATCCCGTGTAACCTAAATTGATTTCCTGTCTCTTTGCTTCGTTAAGAATGACTGCTGACGTGTATAGACGACGTTTAATGTCCAATACAATCAGCGATGGGGGTAGCAATCGATGTGATCCAGCTCATCTAATTAATCCTTTAATTAGTATACGATTATGTATGGGTTTAATAATTGAACTTAATACTAGTAAATCAATAATTCACTAGCACTAGTGTCGATTTTTATCAAGTACATTCATGATATGTAGTATATAATGTAATTTTGACTACACAGAGAAACGAAACTTGTGACGACGCGCGCGTACGTATGTGCGTCAGATATGCGAAGATCATACCAGTGAATTATATATAGAATACTACACTAGTGAATCAGAGAAGAAAACGCGAACGAATAAGCGTGTGGGTCGATACTTTTTAGCATTCCTCTTGGGAATGAAAGCCTTTACATTGCATTATATTATATTTTATTTTATGCGCGAACATTATCACAAGCACTAAAACCATTCAATAAGATGAGAGCATCACATAAATTTTTGCCTAGTCCAGAGATTACTATATATAGTTAACATGCACTAACCCCAAGTGAACATGGCAAAAAGTCTTCCCTTCTCATAAAGCATCGTCGTCAATTATATTGGTATATAAACGCAGTAAACGGCAATCACAAATATATGCATCTGATTCTATTCAAGAGCGTATTAAAAAGGAGAGCGTACAACGGTGAAATGCTGAAACCATGCTGCAGTATTAGTCAAATTAAGAAACTTTGCCCGTTTTATTTTGACGATTCTTTCTGGTGTTATTGATCAGCTGTCCTACCTTGCTAATATAAAACAAACCGCTTGTCCCTACGATGCCTCTACGCTGAGATAATGAGCGGTGAAAATCTGGTATTTTCACCGAAACCCGACTCGAGATACGTAGTGGCTGCGACTGTCTCTCGTTCTGGCGATAGCTTCGGGAAACCTCGCGTGTTTCCGTCATTCATTGACAATGAAATTTATTTTCCTTCTACTATCTTTTCTCGCATTTCCAGTCATTGACGCAGCTTAATTACTCTACAAAAACGTCTTGTTATTTATCGCCATGGTGATAACCCGCCCCTTACGCTAGATGTAGTAACGCTGTAGTAATAACGTATCGAGTCAGCGCTACACATCGGCGACCGGAAGCAACATACAGTCCGCAAAACGAGAGACTGTCGCAGTAAAACTGATCTCGAGTCGGTTTTCGGCGAAAATACCAGATTTTCACCGCTCATTATCTCAGCGTAGAGGCATCGTAGGGACATGCGGTTTGTTTTATATTAACAAGGTAGGACAGCTGATCAAGAATAATGCAAAGAATCGTCAAAATAAAATGGGTAAAGTTTATTAATTCAACTAATACTGCAACATGGTTTCAGCCTTTCACCGTTGTACGCTCTCCTTCTTTATACGCTCTTGATCTATTCTAGTGCCGCTGGTGGCAATATCCTAATAACATTGTTCTACATGTGTAGCATTAAATAACGTAGGTGCTTGCCTTGCTAAGGTCACGGTTTGGTTTATTCGCTCACTTACAGATAGCCGCATGTACGGAGCCCGGAAAGGAACCGGGAAAGGAATGGAAAAAGGGAAAGGGAAAGGGGAAGGGAATGGGAAAAGGGATGGGAAAAATACCCCACGAGATATTTCCTCGTTCCCTCGAGATACTATCTCGTTCCCACGAGATATTATATCGTTCCATTTTTATGTATAATTTCCGTGCCGCGGTCACCGCGCACGACGCGGGGACACCCTCCACACGCCTTCACAGCGTGAAATAAGTTGAAAGTATTCTCCAATTATTTTTGGGTCATTATTTGTACTGTACACGTTTAACCAGATTGTTTTTCTTGAGAAACCGTCTATGCATCCGCTTATGCACAATCCGTATGGTTTCAACTTGTCATAACCATCGACATGCCAGATCTAATTGGGTTCTTTCGCAAAGTAGGCACGTCTGACAAGTGACTTGTTAGTATCAATCGTACATCCTCTATTCTTACACGAATGCCACTTTGGTGACATTTAGCACACATCATACGATACCCATGTCATTGGCCCGAACCCTGTAACTGACTCTGGATGAATTGTACCACATCGTCCACACAGCTGTATCTTCTACGATGACGATTAGCCGTTTAATGTGCCTTTTACTTAAATGTATGTCGTGGTGATGACCTAGTATGAGCAGTATATCTTTGTATGCCATTCCAAGATCAAAATACATTTTCATTAAGAAATTACGGTCACTAACGGAAGCCATTTGAACCTTCTGGCGTGGCAACGAGACGCATTAATTGCTGTTATCTTGTGGGAACGAGATAACATCTCGAGGGAACGAAATATAGTATCTCGAGGGAACGAGAAAATATTTCGTGGGAACGAGATAAAAAAGCTTTTCCCATGTCCCTTCCCGGGCTCCGTACGCATGTACCAATGTATTTGTATGTATTTCTAATGTCATTGTTATTGCAAACCTACGTTGGTGTTTAGTACGGAAGGTGCGTAGACTAGCATGCAACACAGTTTCTCTCTCTTTCAGAGGTGTGCCATTTACCCAACAGTTCTCGCGTTCTGGAAGTTCGTATTTTTTTCGACGTAGTCTATTCCCAACATGAGAATCTTCATGAACTCTTCAACATCAAATCCATAACTGTAATCTTTGATATGATCGTTCTGAAGTTAGATAAAATTCGAAATCATGCAAGAATCTGTATAATGAATCGGTACTAATGCATTCCTATATTATAATCACGCATTGATGCCGCCTGCGTTAAATTTCATTTCACGTAGAACATATGTGATGTATGGTTAACAACGCTGTTGCCTACGTATTGTTTAACTTCAGCTTGGGTAAAATACCTGCGTGGTAGCTTCTTTCCACAACTTATAAGGCCTCCGCCATGTAAGATGCTTAATTCCCCGAAGTCGCGCCAGATCACTATAGCAACCGTCTTCGCAGTTATACCTGTATGAAAAAAGAATTTGCCAAATGGAATTAATAAAGACCCATCTAAAACTATCTACACCTAAATCAAATTTAATAAAATGTTATATGCGAAAATTACCAGTTATAGGCCTACCAGTGTTACCGATGATGCTAGCTAACTGTATATGACATATCTAATATTTCATATTATTTTTGTATGGTGTAGTAAACGTCTTACATTTCAAAGGTTACTCCCCAATCTGGTTGAAATAGCATATGCGTCAGACCAGCTCCATGCATGCCAACAATAATATCCGTGTTATGCGTAATCTGTGTGAGCAACCAATGAGCGCAATAAGAGAAGAGAAACAGTGGCGTAAACGACTTAATTCTACCTACCAAATTCGACTTCAGACAAATAATTTAATAGTATACATGCGGTTTTGTAATGGAACGTTTCAGACAAGATCACAAGATACGTAGCATAGACGTATATTTACTGCCCGCGTCTGTGAAACGTCAATAGGCTTACTTATGGTTATTATATTAAAAAGGTATATATAGGAATTAAATTTTAATGTGATAAAGTTATTTATAGCAATTTATATCAAATAACTGTTCGTTCGGCAAACACTGACTCTGACTGAGCATGCACGAAAACAGACGCTATCCGGCCTATGCATCGGATATGATTATAATGGATAATTACTGGGAGTTACCTTTTTATATGGAAATGCTACGAGTGTTAAGACGACTTCATTGCTAACTAATATTTCATCTAGCAGATACTCAGCATGCGCCACATGGATCTTACCAGGAGCTAATAAATATCTTAGTAATAGGTATTTATTAGCTCTTGATCTTACCCATCCTACCTCCCGGGCGACTCAGGAAGATTGGTCGCCTTAATAAGTATTAAATTAAAAATAGGATCGACATTTTTTATTTCAAAATACTCACGAGCATGCGCCTTCTGCTTTATATTATACATAAGTCATGGGCAAATACTATCGAGAAAACCTGTCTTTGTTAACAAGTAGGCCTACTGAGCATGCGTGAACACACATCTTATTTATATATTTGAGAAATAAGCCATATTTTGAGTAAAACTTTGGCGAATGGTTATTTTATGCCATTATTTGTTAACATGATTAGTTTTATATTAGAGTTATTTACATCTTTTTTAATTTATTTTATTTAATAAAAAAATCTAGGTGCAATTGCCTTACTCGCCCCAGAAATTACAGCTCTCGGTTTTCGCGTTGGAAATGCGTAAATTACAACCTGGCATATAACGTCTTGCATTTACTCAATAGACGACCTGTTACTGGTTGTTTTACACAGGAGAATGCCGTGGAACAGTTATATTAACCACATCCACGTTGATATATACGTAATCTGCGAGGATGGTCCCTGTCGCTTTTACTTCGCTAATACAGGTAGCTGCTAATAGATTTTGATTCGCCTAGCCTTATCAATGTACCACAGACTAGCAAATACACTGTGACTGTACCTAGACTTGTCTGCGACTTTATATAACGCAATTTGCCAGATGACAATCATGACGTATAATAATCCAGAAAACGGACCAATCAGATGAGCGGGATCAGTTTCCCGGTTTGCGATGCTAACTGGTGGTAATTAATTGTACGTTACCTGTCATTAATAACGAAGGAAAAGGGAGAGAAAAGCAGAGGCCAGTTGACAGAAAACCTAAGTCTAACATGTCATAACTTTTGAAGTAAGGTGTTGTGCACAGGTTATGACATTTCAGATGTCTGATACTCATAGATCTACGATATGTTTCTGACAACAGCCCCGGGTCTACAGGAGGAAAGCTCTAATAGGTGGTAATTTGACTGAACTAGATCAAAAGTTGGTGGGCCCAGCAGTTCTCATAGTATTCATCCAGTATTCATCCGTAGACGTTTTTTTATTTCTAAGGGGCTGTTGGGAGTTGCTAGTACAGAAACATATTTTATGGCATTTAATTGTTTAAACATAATAACACAAATAATTATGATTGTTCTAATGCGTAGTTATAGCAAAACAATTTTGTCCTAAAATACTTACGTTTATTTGATCACGAAATGATATTTTCTTTCTGTAAGTTAAAATCAACGAAATTTATTTTGAAAAATGTTTTTATTGATGGTGGAGTAGATGACGGTAGATGAGGTAGATGGATATACGGATGTGTCAGCCGCGTGGGGACCATGTAACGAGACACATAAGCCGCATAGCGAGTGCATTGCTGAGATCGCATATCAAGACGACATTTATCGCAAAATCAATTATTTGAGCATTACCCACAATATTTATTTAGCATCACATTAGTTTGCAGTTTGCAAATGTTCTGTTCGAAATATCAATAGTGCGCAAAAAAATCAACGGTTAAAACAGCTACCAGCGCATTGGTTTCTGATTGTGGGTCTGTGTGAATGGCTTTTTAAAAAGGCTCATTCTACTAGTCTGGGAGTTGTAGTATATATTTTTGGTACTAGACTTGGTGCGCGTTATTTTTAGCTTACACACTCACGTATTTAGATCATAAACACTGAGGTGAACGGCTGGAACGGTTTTCATTGCATCGACGAGTTCTCGTTGATTCAAAATCGTTCTTGTCGCTGTTGTTCTTGCAATGAGGGTTACTCTAACCTGTCCATCCTACGGAGATAGAAAATCGTATTGCTTCTGTTGATATGCTTGCAAATAATTTCTAGGCAGTATTCATTGGTTAAAGTCTGATATGCATAGATGAAAACGGAAACTCTTCGCGACTTGTTTTGCCGTGCATTAATTTTTCGGTTTATGTGAATGAGCAGAACGAACTCACCATTGGTCCGTATTGTTGGATTTCTAGTCGATGAAGAAGATGTTGATTGAATGCTGCGAACATTCTGCTTCCGCTACAACCACTAGGCTGTAACACAAGATTACCGTTAGTTTTACAGACGCTGTTATAGACCATTCTTTTAATTTAACTTTTTTCTTAACTTCTCGCTGTCAGTGAATATACCTGATCCAGAAATTCTGGATAGAGGTGTCTGTATGGAAGGCCATTACCGCCAAAACCTATGGAAGGCCATTACCGCCAAAACCTACCTATTTTAATCGCGCATTAAAATAGGTAGGTTTTGGCGGTAATGGCCTTCCATAAAAACCTACCTATTTTTAATCGCGCTTAAAAATCTATTTTAATTTGCGATTAAAAACCACTTGTTCTGATTGGCTGGAATCAATCGCGCTTAAAATACATTTTATGCGCGATTAAAAATAGGTAGGTTTTAATGGAAAGGCCATTACCGCCAAAACCTACTATTTTAATCGCGCATAAAATGTATTTTAAGCGGCGATTGAATTCCAGCCAATCAGAACAGTGGTTTTTAATCGCGAATAAAATAGATTTTAAGCGCGATTAAATTCCAGCCAATCAGAACAGTGATTTTAATCGCAATTAAAATAGGTAGGTTTTGGGGTAAATCGCCTTCCATATGTCTGTCCGAATGTAAAGCGGGTAGGTAGGGGGGGTATGGGGCCGGAACTCTTCTTGCATATCTTTTGGGAAAACACGCGGTTTCAATCAAATGCATTCATAACTGATATTTAGTAAATTAAATAGCTTTATTTTGTTTAAACTAAGATATACTTTTTCCACGTAAAGAAATCAAATTTACAGTCCATAATTCCATAAATGACGTCTGATAGCAAATATACGCACTGGTATATATATTATTATATATATATATATATATATATATATATATATATATACTGTCTATGTATACATACTGTATTCCCTCACAATTGATGTATAGTGCTTCTGAACGTGTTCATTAAAATAATTTGCACAACACGCCATGATTAAATCGTCCGAGAGGGGGCGCACTGAAATCATGTTTGACAGAGACGTATATAGAGACGTCTATGTACGGCTCTGCTATTTGACTACGCGAAAAAAGAACCTGTTACATTGGCTGTATCATACTACTTGCACAGGCAGGTGCTTGCACGCGCGTGTATCAGCGTGTGTGTTGTGCGTGCGTGCGTGCATGCGGGTGTGCTGGCGGGCGTGCGTGGTGGTGTGTGGTGTTGTGGTGTGGTGTGGTGTGGTGTGGTGTGGTGTGGTGTGGGGTGGTGGTGTTGTGGTGTGGTGTGGTGTTGTGGTGTTGCGGTGCGGTGCGGTGCGGTGCGGTGCGTGTGCGTGTGCGTGTGCGTGTGCGTGTGCGGTGCGTGCGTGCGTGCGTGCGTGCGTGCGTGCGTGCGTGTGCGTATTTTTGCGCGCACGTGTGTGGGTGGCGTTATGTGCGCACACGCGTGCGTGTATAATTAGACTCACAACGTGTGTACTGTAATAAAGGCCTCCGCTGTCCTTGCCAGTAGCGGAAATACTGCGCGCTTGAAGCATACCTACCGGATAATAAATCAGAGAAATAATTTATATTGCTTTAATATCATGAGCTGCACATCAATACCGGTGCCTGGATCCTCTACCGTGAAAGTAAATGTGTGCCTTTTTAAGCGGGAAAGCATAATTCAAATTTAGAATCCCCTACCATGAAGCAAATGTACGAAATTTTCAAAACATAAACACACCCACGTGTTGGATAGCGGTATATGGAGCGTCAATTATTTATTACATTTATTTAGGGTTGTATATATCTATGGTTACATTATTAGGCTTCAAATTTAGTTTCCCCACAAATCTTTGGTGCAGCCGACTTCGCTTTCTCTTGCGGTGCAACGGCCCTGAACGTTATATATAACATATCGCGTGTAATTCACTTTACTCACGAACAAAGAAAAGCCATGCATTGTAAGGTTTGTTCAAATACGGTGCGAACGGCATATACAGTAAAATATCAGAACAACTCCATGAATGATTGTTTTACATTTACGACTAACGTGTTTCTCTATCAGGAGTCTATCAATATTATATTGATAAACTCCTGTTCCTACAGTAGTTGGTTAGTAAGCAGTGTGAATGTTGTTAGGTAAGCCAAATGTATCTAAGGTATCTCAACCTTTTTCCCTCTGTAAGTCTTTAGATGACCCAACTCGTGCTTCGTGAATACGCTCCATGTGGTGTAAAATAGATCAAAATAATCTAAAGATGTCTGCAACGATCAAAACAACAATTTATGAAACATACTATATAACTTGTACAATTTCATTTTTAACCTCTGTCACCCATGGCACTCCCTCAAGTCGCGCCTCTGCTTCTCTCTTTCCCCTCCTTTCCCCCTCTCTCTCTTTTCTACTTTTCGCGCTCCCTCTCTCTCTGGCCTCTCTCTTCTCGCTACTCGTTTGTACACATGCACACGCACGCGTGCGTACACGCGCACGGACATGCACACACACACACACACACACACACACACCACACACAAGCACACACACACACACTCACCTCCTCCATCTCTCTCTCTCTCTCTCTCTCTCCTCTCCTCTGCTCTGCTTTCGCCCTCTCTCACTCTCTCTCTCTCTCTCTCTCTCCCTCTCCTGGTCTCCTCTCTCTCTCTCTCTCTCTCTCTCTCTCTCTCGTTTCCCCTCTACACTTACCATACTTCTCCCTCTTTCAGACATATTACTTTCTGTTACCCATCCCCCACCGTCTTTGACACGCATAACATTTCTGGATATTGTTCGATATATTTCTTAAGTTTACTTGCACAAATACAATCAAGCAACTTACTGAATCCCAGCTGATAATTTTTATGTCGTCAGTAAAGTTATGTCTGCCAATATGTTGGCTAAGGTAAATGTTGAAGAAATCACAGAAGTGGTGATACAAGTTCGCACCTATAAACAAGAAAGAGATGATAGCCTACAGATATCGACAGTGATATATTAAGTCTGATATTTTTTAGTGAATGGTCAATGCTAACACTGGGAAAAGGAAATAGGATAACTTACCAATATCCAATTTAATAAGAAATGTGAGCTTGTCCTCCACAATATCACAATGGTTGCTTGCACTGGGACGAAAGTCTAGTTCATCATAATACTTTATGGTGGGATACCTTTAATACGTAAGTAATATTAGAATGTTAGATGTCACATTATGTGTATATAACAGTGAGGTACCGGGTGTTACATGGAATCTTTTGTCGGCCAAGTTATATTTACATATACGTCAAAGCAAAACAAGATGGAATGCAATTATACTAAGCAATTATATCGTAAACACCAGAAATAAAAATGTGTCTAATTTAAAACTCTCAGCAACTCAGTTTTGTTGTATACGCTTTTGTAAATTTACGTTTGTAATATGTGCATTCCTGATAGTCCCTGAGTAGTACGTTAAGTACGTACGCTGTCGTTTACATGCATCATGCATGGTTGTAACAGAGGCTGTAATTTAAGAGATATGTGACAGTCGCAGACAAGCATATCTTATATGACCCAGCCGAAGGTAGCTGACTTGCTTCCCAGGCAGTATATGTATAAGAGGTGCTGATTATTACGCGTTACGACTGCCATGCCCCTATTACTATTAAAACGGTAGAAATTTTTACTACTTGTAGAAATAATATGCATATATGTGTTAATAGTGAAGTATTGCGCTGCTGATTATTTTTTGCAGCTGATATTGTCTTGCTTTCGTGTTCTTACGTGTTTTGCTGCAATGTAAGGCGGAAGGTGCTTGTATCGAGTGATATTATGTGGGTTTTTTAAATCATTTTATTGTGCGAGTCAAATAAATAAACTTGGGCTGGACTTGCCACGATGACAGTGAGCACTGCGAATGATGCTTCTGATTGAGAAGTCCTGGCCTGTCAAGTTTGCAATGCCCTCCCATCCGTCCACGGCTAAAATCGATCTGCCTATGCCTTAAAAATAAATAGTTTCAACGCTCTCTTTATATTTAGTGTGTTATTTATGCAATCGGTAGACTCATAAAAACTTCACATGTTTCCAGAAAAACGAGCAAAATACAACGTACCACCAGCTATATGTTTTTAATATAAGATATATACATGGGATCGTTAAGATGTCTTGGTAAATATCTACGCCGTAAATAACCATACTTTCCATCTTGTCTAAATGCTATTTCAAAACTTATAAATATCGGTTATTATTTACGTAATCATGTTCCTTTTAAATAAAGTAGGCCAATGTAAGTGTTAGAATTCCATAAAATTAGTTAATATAATAATATGAGCACCTTTATATAAACGCTGAATAATAAATAATATTTTGCAATTATATATTAAAATAATCAATGATACATTTGTAAAGATATGAATATATGATATATAAACAAACGCTATACCTAAAATAGTAATGTGGTTCTCCCTCCGGTGGATCTTTGCCCAACATTTCAAAATTGATATAAATATTTTCCGCTTCGCAGTAATGCATATTGGAACTGCATCTCAGTGCAGAATCGGTCTAAAAATAAACATCCTGATATCATATTAGTGTGCGTATTTTTGCGCGCACGTGTGTGGGTGGCGTTATGTGCGCACACGCGTGCGTGTATAATTTTAGACTCACAACGTGTGTACTGTAATAAAGGCCTCCGGCTGTCCTTGCCAGTAGCGGAAATACTGCGCGCTTGAAGCATACCTACGGATAATAAATCAGAGAAAATAATTTATATTGCTTTAATATGCATGAGCTAGCATCAATACCGGTGCCTGGATCCTCTACCGTGAAAGTAAATGTGTGCCTTTTTAAGCGGGAAAGCATAATTCAAATTTAGAATCCCCTACCATGAGAGCAAATGTACGAAATTTTCAAAACATAAACCACAACCACGTGTTGGATAGCGTATATGAGCGTCAATTATTTATTACATTTATTTTAGGGTTGTATATATCTATGGTTACATTTATTAGGCTTCAAATTTTAGTTTCCCCACAAATCTTTGGTGCAGCCGACTTCGCTTTCTCTTCGGGTGCAACGGCCCTGAACGTTATATATTACATATCGCGTGTAATTCACTTAACTCAACGAACAAAGAAAAGCCATGCATTGTAAGGTTTGTTCAAATACGGTGCGAACGGCATATACAGTAAAATATCAGAACAACTCCATGAATGAGTTGTTTTACATTTTACGACTAACGTGTTCCTATCAGGAGTCTATCAATATTATATTGATAAACTCCTGTTCCTACAGTAGTTGGGTTAGTAAGCAGTGTGAATGTTGTTAGGTAAGCCAATAGTATCCAAGGTATCCAACCTTTTTCCCTCTGTAAGTCTTTAGATGACCCAACTCGTGCTTCGTGAATACGCTCCATGTGGTGTAAAATAGATCAAAATAATCTAAAGATGTCTGCAACGATCAAAACAACAATTTATGAAACATACTATATAACTTGTACAATTTCATTTTTAACCTCTGTCACCCATGGCACTCCCTCAAGTCCGCCACTCTCTGTCTCTCTTCCCCTCCCTTTCCCCCTCTCTCTCTTTTCTACTTTTTCGCGCTCCCTCTCTCTCTCTGCCTCTCTCTTCTCGCTACTCGTTTGTACACATGCACACGCACTATTTCTTAAGTTTACTTGCACAAATACAATCAGCAAACTGACTGACATCCCAGCCTGATAATTTTTATGTCGTCAGTTAAGTTATGTCTGCATGATTGGTGGGCTAGGTAATGTGAAGAAATCATCAGAAGTCGGTGTACAAGGTTCGCAGCCTTTAAACAAGAAAAGAGTGATAGCCTACAGATAATCGACAGTGATATATTAAGTCTGGGATATTGGTTTGTACGTGAATGGTCAATGGCTAACACTGGAACAAGAATAGTAGATAACTACCAATATCCAATTTATAAGAAATGTGAGTTGTCCTCCACAATATCACAGATGGGTTGCTTGCACCTGCCGACGAAAGTCGTAGTTCATCATAGAAATACTTTTATGCGTGGGGATACCTTTAATACAGTAATAATAGTAATGTTACGTGTCACATTATGTGCTATATAACAGTGAGCTACCGGGTGTTACATGGAATTTTTGTCGGCCAAGTTTATTATTTACAATTAACGTCAAAGCCAAAGACAAGATGCGAATGGCCAATTATACTAAGCAATTATGAGTCGTGAAACACCAGAAATAAAAAGGTGTCTAATTTAAAACTCTCAGCCAACTCAGTTTTGTTTGATACGCTTTGTAAAACTTTACGTTTGCTAATATGCTGCAGGTTCCTGATAGTCACTGAGCTAGTACCCGCTTGAATTACGTACGCCTGTCGTTTACATGCATCATGCTTGGTTGTAACGAGAGGCCTTAATTTAAGAGATACTGTGACAGTCGCAGACAAGAATATCTTTATTGACCCAGCCGAAGGTAGTGACTTGCCTTCCAGGCAGTAATATTGTTATAAGAGTGGCTTGATTTTACGCGTTACGACTGCCATTCCCGTGGGGTGGTAGAGTGTGGAGAGAGGGCGGCGTAGAAATTTTTACTACTTGCTAAAATAATATGCATATATGTGTTAATGTATAGTATTCGCTGCCTGATTAGTTTTGCGAAGCTGTACATTGTCTTGCTTTCGTGTTCTGGTACGTGTTTTCTTGCTGCAATGGTTAAGGCGGAAGCTGTGCTGTATCGAGTATATTATGATGGGTTTTTTAATCATTTTTATGTGTGCGAGTCAAATAAATAAACTTGGGCTGGACTATGCCACGATGGGGGGGGGGGGGGGGGGGGGGGGGGGGGGGCGGGGGCGGGGGGGGGGGGGGGGGGGGGGGGGGGGGGGGGGGGGGGGGGGGGGGGGTGGGGGGGGGGTCAGTGAGCACTGCGAATGATGACTTCTGATTGAGAAGTCCTGGCCTGCGCAAGTTTGCAATGCCTCTCCCATCCGTCCACGCGCCCTAAAATCGTCTGCCTATGCCTTAAAAATAAATAGTTTCAACGCTCTCTTTATATTTAGTGTGTTATTTATTGCAATCGGGAATCTGTAAGACTATAAAAACGTCACATGTTTCAAGAAAAAGCAGCAACAAAATACAACCGTACCACAGCCTATATGTTTTTAATATAAGATATATACAGTGCGGGGCGTTAAGATGTCTGCGTAAGTAATATCTACGCTCCGTAAATAACCATACTTTCCATCTTGTCTAAATGCTATTTTCAAAAACTTATAAATAGCCTCGGTTTATTATTTACGAATGTCAACTGTTCCTTTTTAATAAAGTGATGCGCCAATGTAGTGTTAGATTATCCCATAAATTAGTAAATATAATAATTGAGCCACCTTTATATAAACCGCTGAATAATAAAATAATATTTGCATTAATATAGTTAAAATAATCAAATGATTACATTTGTTAAAGATATGAATATATGATATATAAACAAACGCTGATACCTAAAATAGTAATGTGGTTCTCCCTCCGCGTGGGATCTTTGCCAACATTTCAAATTGATATAAATATTTCCGCCCCTTCGCAGTAAATGCATATTGCGAACTGCATGCTCAGTGCCAGATCGGGTCTAAAATAAACATTCCTGATATTCATATTATAACGTTATGATAAAAAGAGTATGTGAAAATCTACATATATATAATATATATTATATATATATTATATATATATATAGAGAGATGAG